AAGCCCTAGTCCAATTTTCACACCTACGCCTAATATAAGCCCTACTCCCCAAAATAAGCCCTATTAAGTCCCAACATCTGGTTGTTAGAGGTGGAGGGAAGCACAGACATAAAAATCAAGCTAGGGCGGGGGGGGGGAGTGGAGCATTCCCATGTGCCCTGTACCTGCTTACCTTAGGACCGCTCAGCTAGGCCTCCCACACCCCGACACCTGTCGTGCTGTTGCCTGACTTTTTCTGTAGTCACAAGATGCTGCATGGCTTGTCGTTCCGATGCTGCCACTTGCAGCAGAATGCTGTAATCCTCATTGCACTGATGCCACTGCTCTCGGCAGGACACGGTGTGGCACATCGTGCCGGTGCTGTTGCTCACACATGCAATGGCACAACATACTATGCAGTCTCCTGCTGCAAGCGATGGCACTGGCACGATGAGCCACACGGTGTCTGGCCTACGAGCGGCTGCAAGTGGCTGCTGAAGAAGTCAAGCAGCAGCGCAACAGGTGTTGGGGTGTGGGAAGTGTGGCTGGAGTTGTCCTAAGGTAAGCAAGTAAGACATCCCCCGAAAATAAGACCTGGTGCTTATTTTGGGGCCAATAAGAAACTAAGACCAGGTCTTATTTTGGGGGAAAGACAGTATTTATAATTCTGCAAAATCTTTAGCTCTTGTTGTGGCCTGCTGCCGGTGTGCAGAACTAGCAGCAGAGTCAGACACTGAGGAGGCTGGGGAGGAACATGGGCCAATCCTGGAGTCTGGGAAGGCTCAGACGAGGGCTCTGTGTCAGAGGCAGAGATAGAATCAGGGCCATCTGGGAGTTATGTGCAGACTCCAGAGCCTCCAGAGTCGGACATCAGTAAGGCAGAGGAACAGGGGGAGTGTGCTCCCAGTGCGCGCATGCGCAGAGTTGCCAGATGGCAAGAACAGTTCAAACATAAGGGATGACTCAGGAGTAGGGCTTGGAGATGACTGGCCCCTCCCATAAGACATAAAGGAGGAGCAAAGGCACATGGGCCTTTGCAGGAAGCAACTGTTGTTCATGCTGGCCGGCTTCAATACTGCAGCTCCGTGCTGACTCTGTGTTCTGTGTGGCCTTGCAAAGTTAATTGCCAATTAGGTCTTGGCAGTGTGTCAAGGGAGATAAAGGTGGGTGTTTATCAGCCTTATCACGAAGAACTGTGGCAGATGTCTGTCCAACTCTTTACAACTATTTGGGACTCATCTGTGAATGAACAGATTGAGAATGAACAGGCTCTGAATGAGCAGAATTCACAGCCGTTGAAATAAAAAGAGGGCTTTTGGGACTCATTGTATGCTTTTACTGTATTGGGAAGCCTAGGTCAGAACAGATCTGCTGAGTCTCATGTACAACTAGGATAATCAGTTTCTAATTTAATTCAATTTATTCTACAGGAATAAATGGGATGTTACCCACTTTATATTTCTCTAGTCTTTTGAGATCTAGTTAGGCTAACAAGAGCACAGCAATATTTATCAATATTGACAAAAGTAAATAAGAGCACCTACAAGTACAGAACAGACTGGATCCTCCTTCTTCTCTTGTGCCAGAGAAATATGGCAAAATTGCTTTTGTCCTCAGTTCAAATATTGTTATTAACCTTTCTATACTGCATTTAGAAACATTCTCCCTTGTTTTTAGGAACAAAGTTCAGCTTGAATAAAGAGTTCCAATATAAGAATACTTTGTCTGAAAAATTTATTCATAATTCTAAAACAAAATATTTTATATTTTTCATTTTTCTAATTAAAAATGCATGAAAAAATAAAACTTGTTTAATTTTTCTCAGCTCTTTGAATTTCTGGTCAAAGTTTTTTCAGCTGTGCCAAAATTTGAGCAAATAAGATATAAGATATAAAAGCAATGTGCTCCATATTTTGGTTATTTATTTATTTTTGGCACTTTCAGGTTAGTCTTGTCTCCTGGTAAGTGTTTGGATTAGTCTCTGCAGTTTTCTTGGCAATGTTTTTCAGAGATTGTTTCCCACTGCCTCCTTCCTAGGGCTGACAGTGACTAGCCCAAGGTCACCAGGTTATCTTTATATTTAGGGTGAAACTAGAACTCATGACCTCCCAGTTTCTAGTCTGATGTCTTAAATACTATACAAACTATCTTGCACTACTATTTTAGTTACTGTCACTCTAAGCCCAAGAATGACGTAGAATTGCCAGCAAGAATTCAGTTTATTTGCTCATACATAATAGACAGAATCCTTACTATTCTCACCCCAATAGATATACCCTGGGAAATTCTATGGAGTTGCTGTTCTAAGTCTCTTCTTCTGTGCTGCCTCTTCTTTCCCTCGCTCCTTTCTGGATTGTGCTCCATCATCCTGGGAAACACTTCATTGTAGTCCCTGTTACATCAGCTCCCCTCCCTTCCATCTCTCACTGTTACCCATTAAAACTAATTTGCTCAATTTTTGTTTGACAATTTTCCTTGTTATACATTGTTCATTAAGAAGATATCTTATGTTGGAATTATCACACTACTCCTTTTTATTTTATATACAACAGCACTTGCATTTAGGCTACCACCTATGCAAAGGCATATGTTGCTGAAAAGAAGACTCTACCTTACTGGTTTAACTGAATATTTACATGTGAAGGCTGTTTTCTACTCAACAACATATATCTCAACATTTTTCTCAGCAGTTGGTCTCCGTTGGTGTTGACAGGATGGGAGAGATCAAGTCTAGAATCCTTTACTTATGAATTAACTCAGGGATAGATTCACTCACTCACACACACACAAACCTTTTTTTTAATATCTACATGAAACCTCTGGGTGAAGTCATTAGTAAGTTGAGGATCCAGTATCACCAATACGTGATGATACATTTCATCCCTAGGCAGTGCAGATGAAACTGTCAAGGTACTGTCTAGGGTATCGGGATCTGAATGAAGAAGAAGAGTCTCAGGCTCAATCCTCACAAGCCTGGGGATCTTCCATCTTCATGCATGGATAGGATTGGACTTTGATAGGATTGTACCACTCAAGACTGGTGTACAACCTGGTGCAGGGGTGAAATCCAGCAGGTTCTGACAGGTTCTGGAGAACCAGTAGTGGAAATTTTGAGTAGTTCGGAGAACCAGCAAATACCACCTCTGGCTGGCCCCCGAGTGGGGTGGGAATGGAGATTTTGCAATCTCCTTCCCCCAGGAGTGGGGAGGGAATGGGAATTTTGCAGTATCCTTCCCCTGGAGTTGGGTGGGAATGGAGATTTTGCAGTATCCTTCCCAAGCCACACCATGCCCACCAAGCCATGCCCACAGAACCGGTAGTAAAAAAATTTGGATTTCACCACTGACCTGGTGGTCATAGTGGACTCACAACTCCTACTCAAAAAGCAGGTGGCAGTTGTAGTCAAGATGGTCTTTGTGCAAGCACATCTACTGCACCAGTTGTTCCCTTTCCTGGATTAGGAGCTCATTTAGAAACATGCCTTAATCTCCTCACAAATGAATTACTTTAATGCACTCTACACAAGGGTCCCTTGAAGTCCATTTGGAAGCTCCTGTTGGTCAAAAATGCATCAGCGAGCATCCTTCAAAATCTCCAAAAAAGATCAAAATTTCCCCCACACATTTGGGAAGCTCTTGGCAAGTTGCATGTTGTACCTTGTCTTCTTTTATCCTCTTCTTCATTAGCACACAATCACATACAATTTTAGGCATAAATAATGACACATATGCTACAAGTACTTAGAGGTAAATAACCGCACAGTCCTTGCCAGACTCTTACTTTGCTGCCCATCTAGCTTTCCAGTCCTATTTTCCACTGATGCTAGCGAAAAGTCTTCTGAGCTAATAGATATGATTATTATTTCTTAGTGACATCTAATTCAGTATTGCTTCTCATTGGTATTGCTAACTGGGAAACTAATTAATTATATGCAACCCACTTTAATGCATGCTTTAATGTTAAATTTCCTGATTTAAGTAATCATCTAGCCGTGGATTTTTTCTATTTCTATTTCTATGAGAAGGTTTGCAGAGGTAGACAATTCCATCCGATGCTATTATTTTGTGGCTAGTTTTATACCATTGGAAGAAGAGTAGAATATAGTAAAAATGAAACAGATTTAACCTACCAGTCTCACAGATAATCATGTTCTTGTTTCCTCACACCTTTATTTTAAAAATGTACTATCTAGTGTTTATCCCTTGGTAAACATTTTTAGTACAAGGCAGCAGAAGCAAATCCTATTCTAATTCTGTACTCAATGACGTCACAATTAAAATTAGAAACTCAGCATGTGGGCAAAGCTTTTTTTATTCATTACAATACTATAATAGACATAAAACATGGGAATCCTATCCTGACCTTATAAATTTGCCTCCCCCTAATTTCTGATTTCCTGTGTATTTTCATTGTGAAAATTGGGGGATTTTTAGCTGAAATCTTTATTCAAGTACTAATTTTACAGCAATTTGGATTAAAAGCAGTGGGATTTGAAGCAGATATTATAGATTTAGAATGCTTTTTTAATCTCTCCAGTTTAACAGCATTAAAATGACTTTCAAGTTTTCATTCACTCAACAGATATTCATTTGAACTAAAACAAATAGACACTGGAGCTCATGTGAATCATGCTAATCATATAATAGACCAATTGTATGACCAAGAGGGAACAATCTGCAAATTCTGTGTCCCCTTTCTTGCAGCTCCCGGAGCTTCTATTATTACATTGCTGAGTGAGGCTACTAAGAATCAATGTGGTGATTTCCCCCCATGTTTTCCCATAATTTTGAAGTAAACATGAAGCAACATAATTTAAGAAAACTAACAAACAAACAAAAAAGAAGACATAGAAGACATCGGCCTCAGTCTCCATTGACCTTAGTCTCCAAAATAGAAGACATTGGCCTTAGCCATGTTGTGTCCTTTTCCCTTTCACAGTAACAAAAAACCCCAATATGTTCAAGCATGAAATAGTTTCTCTTTGATTTCTAGGAAAACTAGAATATAAGCAGCAAACATACCTCCACAAAGAACTCTCCAACACTTTACCCATATCAGTGTGGTAATATTTGGTAAGGATCAGAATTACCTGAAAGAAATAATGCAAAAAGAAAACTAAGCTATACATATACATATACACACTTAAATTATGCATATTAACATGCAATAAAATAAATGAATTTATAAGATTTAAATTCTAAGAATTATTAATTATTTAATTAATTAAAAAGCTGAGCATTGTTTCTTTGCCTTTTTGCAGTCAGAGAAGTATCAAAGGGGTTTACTGCCAAACAGACAAATCCAGGTTTGCATTGTAAACCAAGAATGTTTCAGAAAATCAGCAGAACAGATTGATGCAGCTATTACTTAGAATTATGAAATTAAATGGATTTATTCCTTGTAAAGTGTACATAGGCTTACGGTTTAAATGAACAGATGAAATACAGATTTTTTTTAAAATTAACATTATAACTGAACTATAATTAAACTTCTAGTCTTTAGATGCATTCTCACATAATGCTAAGCCATCATGCTGTTTGTCTGTTTTTATACCTGAACTCATCCCATAAATAAAATTGAGGTTTTTTTCCTGGCAAAACATCCTTTGAATCTTTGGCTTAGAGAATGTGGTATATTCACAATGTAGTTTCTTATGATAGCTGAAGCAGAACCTATGGTTCATCTCTAAATTGTTTGTGTTCCTTATTCAAGCTATCTACTAAGGAACAGAGGTGGGAGGCAAGGCGAGCTGCTTGTACTGCTCACTTGTTCTCAATGAAGTTTTTTCCCAAATTAGCTCTTTGGCTATGTTCTGCTTGGTAACAAATGTTACTTAATGCCCCCACCCTGTTTTTAAGATTGGCTGCCTACCATTTCAGTTCTACATCCAGTAGAATGAAAGAGATTTCAAAAGCAAGAGAAAGTAGGGATTGAGCATAATTTGAGCTTCACAATACCTGGTAAATTGATAGATGTTGATCTTTCAATGTACAGAGAAACTTTCATTTTTTTCACTGCCCTTTTCCTCCAATACAGTCTAGAGGTCTTCTGGAAACCACATAAATATGTGCTCAAATCAACTATTGTTTTACACTGGGACTTCAGCAGGGTCATGACACAGATTTTTTTTCTAAGAGAACTTTAAGGATGAATATCTAGCTCAGTACTGGAAGGCAATTGTCCTGTTCATCTGTCCCTGAACCAGATTTATATTTTCTCTAAATATAAGCTTTGCTGTATTAATCATTATCAATCCTTATTGTTCAATTCCAAGGAAACTGAGGACATACACATTCCTTTTCCAAAATTAGTTCTATTCTTTTGAAGGAAAACAGACACAACCCTTTTGGGTCCTGCCTTATCAGAGTCTCACATATCACAGGTTCTAATATCTCAATGAAAATTTAGTTCTACAGCATGAACCTATAGTTTCTGTTTTGTACTGGCCAATTTTGGTGCTTGAGGGCACATTTTCCTCCCAAAACTGAGATGTAGTTTATGAAACTATGCAATAATTCCACAACTCTGTCTCATAACTGCCCATCACTCAGGAAAATCAGCATTTGGATTTAGAAATGCATATGAACTATCAGACAGATGCTTATTTTTAGAGCACTCTGGTTAAATGTTTTGCTGTTGGTGTTAATTATATTACTGCAAGATAATGAGACGTGAGAAGAGGAGAATGAGGAAATTGAGTAGGATGAAAGTGATAGATGACTGAAAACTGCAAGTATCTTTAAATGAGTCCCAGAGGGAAGGAAGAGATTAGTGAAATAGGATAAATGAAAGAAAAGATCATCCAGGTTGGTGATACCAGTTCCTGCCCCATACCCACAAGAGAGCTGAACTGAAAAGGACTGAGGTCTTGGCTGTAACAGAAATACCAACAAGGAATAATTCAAAACCCTACATGGAAACTGCTGCAGAGGGCAACAGAGCAATAACCATCATTGGCACAAAGCAACAAAGATCAATTTTAGAGGGTGGAATCTGGTTTTGCAGGAAATCAAGGAGAAAGGAGAACAGAAGTGGAGATTTTCAATTGGCTTCTTCAGAAAAGAATTTATGGAGGCCAGCGACATGGAGAAAGAAAAGAGTGGCAGGGAGAGAAGTAATACCATGATTGAAAAAAGGAAGTGACCCAGAAGCCAAGCTAGTTTAATCAAACCTAGACTTGGACTTTTCAAATCACATGCTACAGATGCAGCTGAGAAGTGCTGAAATGTTCTTTTCTCTCCTTATGATTTTACTAGGTAGTGCATGATACTGCATGGAGAGCAGGGGAAAGCTCCTGGAAAGGTTTGGAGGAGGCTAGCTATGTGGCTAAAAGCAAAAGAAAGTAGAATAAGTATTTGGGTCGACAGATAGGACCTTGAATATCAGGGGTTATGTATCTGGTTAATACAATATGCTTGCTTGTATGCATCAGTGTAAACCAAAGAGTGGGGCTGAATGCGGCATTTAAAGATAGATGGGAGAAATTATTGTCTGTCTCTGGAGGTATGGCAACTGGGACCCAAACTGGGATAGTGACAGGCAAGAGAAGTTCCAACACATCACCCTAGGCATGTTGCTGCTGAAGAAAGGAATATCCCAGTTCTAGGGATGCTTGTAAAGGACAGATCATAATGAGGTTGCATCCAACTCTGATATGAGGGTGGATGAAGATCTGGTAGATATTACTGAGACTTGGCTGGGCAGTGATGACAATGCAGCCCTCTCAGGAAATTGTCTACCTAGGCTTCAGCCTATAGTAACTGCAATGACAGTGCTTGGGAAGGGAAAATAACCATGGTGATATATGAGATATGTTCTTTTTTACTTGCTCCCTGCTGAGGGTAGGAACAGATAATTAGCCATTTTAAGAATTTGGTGGAAGGAAATTTCATACAGTGGGAGAATGAGGGAAAGAGAGAGAGAAATTGCACATATATATTTCATTCCTCATAGAGCACATATTTCCTCTCAGGTTGAGAGTCACATTTAAGATCCAATAAACAGGGCATACTTTCAAAATACTGGTGGACCCAGATAAAGTGTGGCTTAATTAAAACATATAGGTAGTCCTTGACTTATGACATTCATTCTAATTCAAAAAGAATTAGAAAATAAACAGAACAGTCAGACTTGACTGAATTTGAAAAGCTTGTAACACAACATTCAGAAGCTCTGTTTATAAGACATTATTGAAATATGACTTAGAAACTGAAGAAGAATTTTCTTGGTTAGTTTCAAACATGTGGTAAAATGAAATAAAATACTTTTTTAAAAAAGAAAACAGACTACTTAGAAAATCTGGATTGCACAAAAATGGTTAATATGTTAATTTCCCCTTTGCACTCTTAAGAAAATTGATTTAAAAGTTAAATTGTGCACTGTGACATAAATATATATGCATAATTGGTTTGCATTAACATATAATAAAGATACGTTTTTGTGGTAGATTTTCCTAATTTTGCTTTTTCCTAATTTTTCCTTTATATATAATTTCTTTTAAATTTAAAACCATATTATTTAAACATGTCTTTTTAAATATCCAAAAATGTATTTGGTTGCTATTTTTAAAAAGTAATAAAATACATCAGATATAATGTAACTCACTGCAAAGAATATACTGAATGTATGTTTGTGATTTGGTATTTGAGTTGCTTTATGAATCAATGAGCACATCCAACCTATTTTTGAAAAAAAAAATGAGTACCACTACTCAATATATCTGCAGCTATGGAAATCACATTATCATTCCATTTTTATATAAAAGATGAACAATAGTCTTTAATTTTTATTTTTAAAAAAACAGCTGCTGTCTGCTTTTACATGATAATGTGCAGTGTTTCTACAAAATTTGAATTAATTAGTTGTGGCAGTTGCCCCCACCCCCAAAAAATCTTGTCTAAAACAATGTCATTAATCTGGAAAAGCACAAAAAATGAAATAATCAACACAGAATGCCTCCAAATTATGAAATAACTGCCTCAATTTTAAGACACATTGTTTTTGGTCAGATGGATTTTAATTGGTATTGGCATTTCTGGAGATCTTCCCGGTTTAAAGATTAATACTTTTGCCTCTGAAATCATGTTCTTCAAAAACTATCAAAAAATGAAATAGGATGGGAACTGAATTCTAATTTCCATGAGTATCAGCACACCTCTCATCCAAATGGGATATCTAGAGGATCTCAAAATGTGGTTCCATTCTTACATTGCCAAGAGAAAGCTTGTGTCTCTTTGTGTGCAAGTGTGCATACACATGTCCATTTTTAACCGTCAAATGGTGGGGTGGGGTGGGGTGGGGACTGGAGGAGTCCCAATGTGGTCCTGTAACATGGAAATCTGGGACAAGCAGGTATTTCTAAATGTAAAAGGGGAAGATTCCCCTACTATCACAATCCAGAAGAGGGCAAAATTGTGTTCCTAGAGTTACATGGGGGATAAAAAATAGTTGAGAGAGATTTAAATGGCCAAATACACTTCCACTGACATCTGGGAGATCATGAAATTGATATGAAAAATGATATTCTTATCTCTAACGGTGGGGAAAGGAGCAGAGGAAATCTCATTGTTTTCTTTGGAGCAAGCCCTGTCAGAGATTCTAACTTATTCCAACCATTTCGGAAGCAACGGCATTCCTCTGGCTTGCAAATAAGCCGAAGCATGCAAAACCCAAGAAAACGTGAGTCCCATTCGCCCATCTACATGTCAAGCTTTCTTTCTCCGGATTGGAAGCCTTGAGATCTGTCTGACCAGTTGAGAATGGAGCTAGCTTTAGAGACGACTGGAAAAAACCTTCGCTAAGCTTCCGAATGGCATCCGTGCGACCCCTCTTGTTCCTTAGAGGAGGACCGAAGAGGGTCTTCCCTTCCCCACCCAAAGGTGGCACGTCACTACCCCTCCCCCTTCCCGCTGCCGGCGAAGGCGCCATGAGGACTCCGCTCTACAAGGAAGAAAGCCCGCAGCTCGAGGGACGATCCCAGATCGCAAGGCGAGAGGCACCGACTAAGCACTTACGCTGCTATTGTCGCCTGTCCAATGCACCATCGCTTGGTTGTGAGCCGCGTCACCTTTTAGGACGAAAGAGGTGCTAAACAAGGAAGCCGCCTCCGGGGCTCCCACGGCACGATCTCGCAGGCCCTCCTCCTCCCCCCGCGGGCTGCTCCGTCTCTGGCGGTACAGCCAGTCGTCGGGACGCGCCGCCCGGGAGGCATCCAGCGCAAGCAGCAAGAGCAGCAGCGGCAGCGTTAGCGGCATCCCGAAACTCGAGGCTCCACTTTGCTGGAGAGCTGCTGGCGCCCCGCTCGGCCTCCGCTGCACTGCCGCCGGGCAAAGACAGGAGCCTGGCAGATGAGCGAGCGCGAGGGAGGCTGAGCCCGAGATGGAGGGAGCGTCGCGATGTTGCGCTGCGTGGAAAACAACGTGTCTGAGCCTCCACGCCCAGTTAAGGAGCAGCGCTGCCCTCTGCCGGCGCTCCTTGGTCCGTTTGCTGGGTGCCGAAGAACAGACCAGACGGTGCGCTTGATGCTCCCGTAGCAGGCGAGACTGCGCAATTTAGCCGTGTGAGGAAAACGTGGCCGAGCAACTGTCAGCCCTTGGATAACAACATTTCGCTCACGCGGTCGGTTTGAAGACCTTGAGTGTCACCTTCTGAGAGAGCCCCGCGAATAATCCAAATCGCAACCCCTTTCCAAGGGGCAATCATCGAATGGCAAGGAACATCAAACAACATTCTTCTGATGATACGAACGGGTATTATTTGAACTTGATGGATAATTATGTCCTGAGGGATAATGTAGGGAGGTTACTAGTTCTGGGAAAGATTCAGACTTGGACCCATTTCATTTGTACTGGATTGTTCCTCAAAGCTCAGAATGTCCTAAATGGCTTCCATCTATGATTTCATCCTTTCAACAACCTTCTTTAAAGTAGGGTATGCTGGGAACAGCAGGATTTAGCATTTCGGTTTTCATTTTTGTTGTCAAGCCTGAAAAAAACAACAGCCCTGCAAGATAGAGGTTTCTTCATTCCAGCATTTAGCCTCTTGCTGTAATAAGAGGCAGTCCTGAACTCCCAGCAAAAGAGCAAGTAGAAAATATGATGAAATCAAGGTACCAATCAGAAAGCAATCAACATTATGGCTATTATACACTTCTTTGGTTAAAATACTGAACTCAAGAGCTAGATGACAATAATGATTCATTAAATTAATCTTATTTTTTCTTCCAGCAATCTATTGCAATTGTCATCAATGCACCTTAAAACTCTGAGTAAGAATTGTGCACCATGAATGATATGTTCCTGTGCAACAAAAAACTAAAAAAGAAAAGTGCTGTTCCATAACACAAGTGTAATCTACTACACTACAAGCTACTTTATTTATTCGCAGTTTTTAAATATTCCAACAAGAACCAGTTCTAAGACCATACAAGTCCCATTCTGTGCATCAAAATAAAAATATAACAAAGCCAATGTACTATCATATAACACAATAATATTGCCTATATGAGATCCTATTGGGCTATATCTGTTTTGAATCATGTATTAAATATAATTTATTTCTCCATATTGTTGAATTATTATTGATAAATATTATTGACAATTAATATATTGTAAATAATTATCAGATATCAACTGTTTTTCTCTCTATGACTTTTGTTTTCTGAATTATTCTACTGTCTGTATTCTTAAGGTTTTTTTCCCCTATGCAATCAGTTTCTTGTAGAAGTGCAATATTTACTCTTATCAATCGAATTAAAATACTGTCATTAATACATTACAATTTATCAATTAATTCAATTTTCTAGGTTTGCTTACCATATTAAACCATTAACCATCATATAGGCGAAGTTTATACAGGTAAGTCCTTAACTTATGATCATAAATGAGCTCAAAATTTCTGTTGCTAGCAAGGCAGTTGTTAAGTGAGTTGCATCTCATTTTATGACTTTTGCCAGTTAAGCAAATCGCTGCAGTTGTTAAGTGAATCACGCAGTTGTTAAGCAAATCTATCATTCCCCATTGACTTTGCTTGTTGGAAGCTGGTTGAGATTACAAACAATGATCACATACGCTGGGACAGTGCAGCTGTTGTAAATACCTGTTAGCTAGTGCCTGGATTTTGATCATGTGACCATGAGGAGACTGCAAAAGTTGTAAGTGTGAAAGTCACTTTTTTCAGTGTTGGTGTAACTTTGAACAGTCACTAAACAAATGGTTGTGAGTCAAGGATTACCTGTATACTGTAGATTGCTAAACTAAAATGTGATTCTTCCTGGCTCTGGTTTCTAGCCATTTTCTTTTATTACTTGTCTATTTCCTCCTTAAAATAGTTTTGTTCCTGATTTGTATATTTATGCAAATAATTTTCCCAAAATTTAATGATTCTCTCCTTTTATTTCTGGACTACACCATTTTAGATGCATGCGGGTGGTTTTAGGGAGTAAAATCGCTACCTGGATACTACTAAAATGCTTGTGTGTTTGATACTTTGTAACTTTCAGTTAGGGAAAATAATGCATCATAGGGCAATACTTTGTCAACAAAGGTACATCAAATGAGGTCTAGGACAACTAGCTCACTGCTTCCAGCTTACCACTGCCAAATTGCAACTGCCAATTAATTGCCTCCAAGTCTCTGCAGAACTCCACACAGCCAACTCACCATGGGGACAACTTGCTGTCGGTGGCTGGAGAAAGACCCCAGGTGGATGGATGGGTGAGTGAGTGGGTGGGCAGAGTGCAGACCTGGTGTCTGGGGCTTCCCATTTTCACACACCCCTGCTGCTGCTGCCACCACACTGAACTCCAGATTGAAGAGGCTGGGGACAGTGGCAGCAGCAGTGGGTGGGGCAGGCAGCGGCAGCAGCCAGGGATGTTCCATTTGCACACCCCCACTGCCACTGTCACTGCCCCAAGCTCCAGGCTGAAAAGGCCAGGGACAGTGGCATGTGGAGCAGGCAGCAGGGAGGTGGCAGAGCCAGGAGCATCCCATTTTCGCACATGTCCCGGCAGTCTCACTGCTGCTGACCTCTGGGTCGAAGAGGTTAGGGACAGTGGTGGATGGGGTAGGGAAGCAGCGGCAGTCAGGGGGGCATCCCATTTTCACCTACACACCACCACAGCCATCCCCAATCTCTTTGGCCTGGAGCTCCACATGGCAACAGTGACAGCAGCAGCAGTGGGGTGTGTGAAAATGGGATGCCCCCAGCCACTCCCTCCTACCCACCCATTGCCGCTGTCCCTGATCTCTTCAGTCCAGAGTTCAGCACAGCAGCAGCCTTGGTGTATGAAAATGGGACGCATCTGGCTGCTGCCATCTCCCCTCCCTGTCCACTGCCACTACTATCCCCAGCCTCTTCAGCCTGGAGCTCAATGGTGGCAGCAACCAGGGTTGTGTGTCAAAATGGGAAGTCTTTGGTGCGACTGCTGCTCTATCCTTTGCCCACCTGCTCATTTGCCCGACTGCTCAGCTCTGCCTCTGGCTGGCCGTAGTGAGCTGTCCTTGTGTAGTTGTCCTGTGGCAACTTGGAGGCAAGTGAATTGGCAGAGGTGACTTAGCAGCGGCAAGCTAGTGGCAGTGAGTTGATCATGCCAAGCTGGCCACAGCGAATTGTCCCATTCTGCCTCAAATAGGCTTATTTATGGAATGCTGGGATCCAGTATTCCAGAGGGAATGAAATTTGGGTGATTTTTTTGCTATGCTGCTGCTATGTAACACTGCTGCCACACTGCCAAGGTCAGCTGCAATTATGTGATCCTCACTTTCAACATTCCTGACAGTTTTTCACAAGTCAATTAGGAACCTGGAAGGGATTATAATTGTTGGGAAAAAGTCAATGCAGAAATGTTCCAGTGCATTTACTTGCTCTTTCCATCTCTTGGCAGCTGACACTTTCCGGTCTGCTGGGAAGGTAAGGGAAGAGTGGGGAGGAACAGGGATAAAGGATGGGGAAAAGGGAAGATGGAAAGGATGGGGGGAAGGATGGAAGGAACAGAAAGGGAAGGGAAGGAGGAAAAAAGGGAGATAGGAAGGAACAGGGAGAAAGAAAGACAGCGGGGGAGGTAGGAAGATAGATTTCTATTGATTGATTACATTAACCATTAGGAATTTTCTTAGTTCTAGGTTGCTTCTCTCTTTGGTTAGTTTCCATCCATTGTTTCTTCTTGTGTTTTGGTGCTTTGGAAAATAGTTTGACTCCCTCGTCTTTGTAGGAGCCCCTCAAATATTGGAACACTACTATCATGTCTTCCTAGTCCTTTCTTTCATTAGACTAGATTCTTGTAACCATTCTTCGTATGTTTTAGCTTCCAGTTTCTTAATCATTCTTTTTGTTGGAAGAAATATCCAGCTGGTTCAGTTCCAAGGCGGAAGAAAGGCATTGGAGACAAAATGGATGCTGATTGGAAAGAGGGTCTATTATGAGCTACCCAGATCTCTTTATCTCTTAAATGCTGACATCTGCTGTGGGCTATTAAGGAAGGTGAGGGCTGCTTTCCAAGAGCATATTTCTCCATTTCTCATCCAGAGAAATATAATATTCTGCCTTTTTAATATTTCTCAAAACATTTCATTCTTCTAGGAGAGGGTTGGGTGCTTTCTACATTGTAATTATTCTTAATAAGATCTGACCTGGAAATGACCAGTTTACATGAATTAGGATATTAACTGCCCTTGGGCCTTGCAAGTCCAGTAGGTTGAGTCAGAATCATGGCCAAACTAATCTAGAAGTCCCCGAGAATAAGTTAAATAGTACAAGAATAAGTTAACTGGAACTACAAGATCTAGATTATAAAAATGAGAATATCCATTAAATGGTAGAAACGTTTTCAATACAGGTAATCAACTTACAACAGTTGGTTTAGTGACCGTTCAAAGTTAGAACGGCACTGAAATATGTGACTTGGGACCATTTTTCACACTTATGACCATTGCATAAGTGTGAAGCATTTGAGCATTCACATGATCAAAATTCAGATGCTTGCCAAATGATTCATATTTATGATGGTTGCAGTATCCTGGGGTCATGTGATCCCCTTTTGCAACCTTCTGACAAGCAAAGTCAATGGGGAAGCCAGATGCACTTAACCAGGTTACTAACTGATCAATTGCAGTGATTCATTTAACAACTGTGGCAAGAAAAGTTGTAAAGTGAGGCAAAATTAACTTAACAAATGTCTCACTTAACAGTAGAAATGTTGGGCTCAATTGTGGTCCTAAGTCGAAGACTACCTGTACCTCATTTGCTTGCTGTCATCCAGTTTTAGGCATGACTTCTTTCCCATATATCAAAAAATGAAAGAAAACTTCAGGCTAACCTTGCCTTTTGGTTTGCAGGCAGGCTGATAAAAAGTGAAGTTAGAAGTCTCTTCCAGCTGCATTGAAGGAGGTATT